GAGTATCCATTAGAGTGTTAAGAGGAGAGGGGGAAGCGTTGATGGTTGGCATGATTCCATTATAAACAAACTAATGCTGGGTCTTTGTAAAGCAAAAAAGGCGAATGAGCCAGCTTTTGCATTTTAAGTGGAGAACCACATGGAAAGTGAGTGTATATTACAAAATGGTTGCTTTTTAATTGTTTAGTGGTAATAAGGATATTCTACTGAGATGACAAAAAAGTTGGAACTTTTGGTTTGGTGTTGGTTTAGTACATGGGTCTTTTCTTCTACCTGAACCACCATCTCTGGACTGTTGAGAGGGGAGAGATAAAGAAATGCGCATGGCGGCGGATGTAGGGAGAGATAACCCGGTTGATTTTGGCCCATGTGCTTTTATGATATCCGGCAGTTGCAGGAGCATGATACATGAGCTTCAGCAGCTGCAGAAGAAGAGGGGTGAAAAATCAGCAGAGGATTTATAGTATGAGACTATCTTTATTTGAATCATGGACTATTTTATTTGAACAATAGACTATTTTAATTTGAATAATATGCCTTCGCTAACTGTTAAGTAGGATTTCAATAAAACTTGGGAAGCTTTACATAGTATCTAAGATTTCAAGCCAATTGAGGTTAATGTTGATTTTATTAAGGTTAATTTTACTGATAGCCATCAGTGCCAAGTAAGGAATCACTATGGGCACCACGGTTCAGGAACTTGAACCATTGTAAGATTTCACATCAGAAGGTTGGGATGTCAAGCAGGATCTAAAGAAGTGTAGATATATCTTACTGAAATTGTTTAAGGCAGCAGCTATTAACATACCATGATGAAATTAACTATTGCCCACACACATCAATCCTGTCCGCTAAACCAAGTGAGATTTTACTTTCTTTAAGGAAAAAAACTAAACAAAGGTTAGAGATTTCTTTGGAGATAGGGTTTTGAGAGAAACCATCAAAATAGTTGTGATCACTACCACTACCAGGATATATGAGGAATAAGTTTCAGGTGCAAAAATATAAAACATATAGAGACTCCTGAGAATTGAAGATCTGAAACATCATTATCCACCCAGTGACTTGTCAGAAGTGTCCTTTAATAATATTGCCAGAGTAAGGATATCATTAAAAAAGTTTTTCTAAGTTTCATTATTTTTTAAGCTGACAAGATAGTAGAAGAGAAATGGATGTTTAAACAGAAGATGGCACTAATGCACAACAATTATACTAAATTCTGAAGTTAAGTTAGTGTGAGAATTAACAAAACATTCAGCACCTTTCTTTAGCCAATAGAATTAGACGTAACTGACCTGCCAGTACATAAATATTTGTAAGATGTTGCGCTGCCACCTGCATCTCACCAAAATTATGAATCAACTTGGTAGAGATATAAAAACCTAAGAGATACAAAAATAAGTTTGAGGTGTACTCACGAGAACAGTGACAATAGCAGAAGGAAACCAAGTGCAATTTCTGCGTTTGAACTCAGAATGCTAAGTGTAGTAGTGTTTGCTTCGACCCACACACAGGGATTTTCCAGGTAGTTCCTGTAGATTGAGCAGATATATCAATAGGTTACTTGCAGTTAAAGGATCCAATAAGTAAAGACGGGCGGACTTTATTCCAAGAGACGGCAATACTACAGTTGTTGGTGAAGAATTTAAACTCGAGCTCAAGCTTGTTACCTGTAGAACAATGACTGGTTGAAATTGAACCTTAAGAATTTGGCAACATGTTCAAGTGACCAGCAAAGCACAGGTATCAAAACAACTGCCAAGAAAGTAAAGATGGTAATGCACCAAAACATTCAGTAGGGAAAAAGTGCATATGCATATTTCGATGTTCATTCACTGGTAAGAAAATATCAAGTTGTAGGTTGTCTAAAAATCACTGCAGATAACTGATCCCCCATCAAACATCGATGATGGAAGTTACAATCTGACGACTTTCAGAATGTTATAATTTGAAGACTTTCACGTAGATCGATGAAGGTTACAATCTGACGACCTTCGCAATAACTAATAAAAGCTCTAAACAACAACCTTCACAATCAACATCAGGAGTTACAATCTGACGACTATTATATTTTCAAGGAGCCAAGACGAAGATTACAAGGTGACGGTCTTTGCAACGCTCTAGCAAAAGAGACTACAAATTGACGGTCTCTTCACATTAAAATGAAGAGCTCATCCCCAGCGTTCAAGTCCAAACGCACGGGTCGGACCTACGTTGCAACATCAAAATGCAGGGGTCAGACCTGCGTTGCAACATCAAAACGCACGGGTCGGACCTGCATTGCAACATCAAAACGCACGGGTCGGACCAGCGTTGCAACATCAAAAAGCACGGGTCGGACTTGCGTTGCAACGTCAAAACGCAAAGCGACATGTGCGTTCTCAACCACCAAAATAGGTCCAACTCTGCGTTTCAAGTCTAAAATACAGAGTTCGGGCCCAGAACGCTATTCTCTACGTTTGACTCATTCAGACGGTTCCAAAAACCATTTCCCACGATCTGAGGGGATCACAACTCCATCCAAGAGTGATTTTAGGGGGCGGTTACACCCCCAAAACCTCTATAAATATGGGTAAACTCAACTGAGTTCGGGACTAACTTTTTGGGGGAATTGCTGAAACTTTGGAGATCGACAACAGAAGCTTTCTTCATCTTTGGCTTATAAACCGATTTCGGTTAAATCAACTCTTTCATAGGGTTTCAAACTCGTTCAGAGCTATCAACTCATCAAGAGTTAATTTCAAACTTGCTTTGCAAGTTCTCCACAACGTCAAATCGTGAGGAGGATATCGTTCCAGTGAAGCGAAACGTCGGATCGTCAACGGAAAGCAAGCTCGACGCGAGCATTCGAGGAAGGCATTTCATCGCCACCGTGAAGAACCCAGACTTAAACAAAGGAGAGGACCTCCGTCGATCTTCTTCTCTTTTGTAATCAGGAAATTCAAATTGTATTCGAGGTTGAGAGAGTTGTAAACATTCTTTCTCTAAATCAGTTAGATGGAATAAAACATTCAATTCTTTCATTTTCTCATTGCAAATTTCCCACAAACGCAAGTAGATACCAAAGATCAACTCACATTTAAAGTGTATCTGTGAAGAAACAAACGTAAGGCAGTAGACGAAGCGAATGAAATCCTTTGTTGCAATTATAGACTGAAACCATGCTTGGACTGAAAGCAGATTCCACGCCCTGGGTTTCTGAAGAAAGTAACAATAAATGATAAATAAGTAACCTCACCAAACCTGAAATAATTAGAACCATAACCTCAAAAGAAAAAAAAAATCATATGGGGTATTACTATAACATAGTTACAGTACTTACCCCATACAGAATATACAAAGAATATAATGAGGATAATGCCGTGCCAAGTAAGGACAGTCGACAAGCCTTGTTTGAGAGAGTCCTTGACGCAAGAGGAAGAACACCAATCACTGCCACAACTAAAACCTGCAAATAACCATACAGAATATGTATCACTCATCCACGCACAATAAAAGAATAAAATTCAGAAAGACCATGCAAAATAAGAAGCAAAGTCGAACAATGTGAAGAACAATAAGAGAGTAAGAAAGGAAGAGTTTTACTTATCTATGTCAATGTTATGAAGCATATTGCAGTTATATCCAAACACGCTTCAGTTAACTATGTGGATGAAAGGAATATTGAAAATGCACCAACAAAGAAAATGCTTCAGTAATGATGGGAAATGAAGCTTCATCTGTGCTTCACTTGCCTATACAGCTCCTGTCACCACACTAAAAATGCTGGTGATTACGGACTCCTCCAGCATGCATCTAAGTCCAGGTTCAAGAGAGGGTCTAATACATATGTGCTTCTTCAAGTATAACAGGAGGGGAAAAAACTGTAACGGCAGGGCATGAACTTATAGAAGATATATCAGAGCCAACTGACACTAGCGCAACATTATCGTCGCCTAGATGAGAACTCTTACTATTTCTGGCAATATAAGCACAACAATATTGCAGTTTTTATTAAGGCTTCACAAGTCATATGTTCCGTGTCCAATTGTCTCATAGATTAGTAGTAGCTGGGCTTATGAGAAAATTTCATTTCCTAAAATAATGGACAATAAATACCAGAAAATAAGTCAATTAATATCTATTTAACTCATATGTCATTGTTGATATATGGATAAAATATATAATAAAGAGTTTCATGTAATCAATATGACAGTTCATATAGGACTCCTAAAGCATCGGACTGGTAGTTGGCAGATATATTTGAGTAACTACACAGAAGATAGCATTATAGCTGCTATGGAAATTGGCCACACCCAAGCATTGACAGAGAAGTGTATGGTCTTCTTATCCAAAAAGAAAGAATTGGAGTTACTCCTCAGTGACGCAGTTGTTCCAGGTGTAGACGCTGCAAGGCACAAAATTCACCCAAACAACAATTAAATTAAAGAAGAAAATTCCAGCGTAAGTCAGAAAGAAGAAACAAGTTAACTATGCAATAATTAGGTGTTACCTGTTGTACGAGTTCTTGCGTTTCGTGTTCCCGGAGTTGATGTAGATCTTCCTGATCCTCTGTCTGGTTGAGATGAACTGGTTAAAGTCATAGCCTCAACCTCCAGATCAGGATCCTGTATGGAAGGGGAAACATACATTGTATCAACATGGTGTGGGAGTTGTGTAACTAAACTGGCTGATTTTTCCTGGTTCACAAATTTTAAGTGGCACGATCAATAGCAAGATCATGCACAATTATTGTCATCTCGAAAGTAACTTAGATTTTTTATATATAAAAATATCATTCAGAAAACAGTAGTTATTTATAAACTAGAGTTCCAAAGCAGTTTAACCCCAGCAGGTCTATAAAGAATAACATTAATGAAATCCCACAAATCAGACTGCATATTGTAGAGCTGTTTAAGAAGAGAGTATTTATGGTGATATTGTAACTTACTAACATAACTAACTATCTATAAAGAAACACCCTTTGTGCATACTAACTATCTAACTCAGGAAAAGATCTAAAATACAGATACAGCCACATAGGTTTAACATTAGAGTTCTTCAACTTTAGTACACTGCAAGTTTGATTTGAGAAGTGCTCCTAAATTCCAGAACTTTCTAAAGGATCGCTATCTCATCATTATCATTATCATTATCATGTCACCATGAATGCCTTCTCTTCTCAAATTAGTCTGCTATGGAACATTGAACCCCATGAATATTGAAAATCATATATCTATCAACCAACACAAAATAACCACATTCCTGATAAAGGATATTATGAGCAGTGATGGAATCCTAGAAGGTCAACGGGATAGGAGAACCTGATTTGTTTTGGCATGTAGTTTTAAGCTCATGCAACCAAGAAGAGCTCGCCCAAAAATTCTCCTCAACAATGAATTAGACTAATGGCTCTACAACATAGATGTATCAAGAAAACAATGCATGAAACCTGTGAATAATTTAACATATTGATAAATAATTATCTAAGTGAAGTCCAAAATGTTTTTTTTTTATCATGATTAATTTAAAAGGATCTTACATATATACACTAAGAGAGAGTTGTAGGTGGCTAGAGGTTGTTCCTATTGTGGATAAAAATGAAATCGAATTGATTGAGATGATTCGGTCACATACAAAGGACCAGTTAACAGAAATTATAATCCCCAATTAGCAGAAGAGATAAGATTACACTTATAGTTAATGGGATGAAAGTACTAGAAGCAGAACTCAGAGAACATGGTTAGGAGTTGGGAGCAATTAAGATGGATATGATATTAGTTAACTTGAAGATGGACCTTAACAGAACTGAATAGATGAATAGAATACATGTAGCCGGCGTTAAAATATTAGAACAAAGGCTTTGCTGTGGTTGATGTTGCATGTCTATTTAAAAGGCTTCAAATCAACAAATACAGCCTATACATCCTCATCAACTCCTCAGTTCCAATAGACAGAAACCCTAAGAACCTCTCACAACTACACCAAATTCAGACCAAAGTAAAGCCTTAAAACAACACCCGACCACAATCAACCGCAGCTACTAGGTCGAAAACTTCGGAGCGAGATGGAAAAAGTGAAACCTTAAAGGATTCAAAGAACATCAAAGTTAGCGATCACAACGATCAGACACTGGTCGAACACGTGCTTGAAGTGTTCAACAATGGCCATATAAGAAAAAAAAGGAGATCCTAGCCACATGAAGCATAACCTGGGCAAAATTAGAACTTTGTAGTTACTGTTAACTCTGTAGTGCATCTTCAAAGGCTTTTTCTCTTGGGTAAGATGAAAACATCTTTGGAATTTCGTTCAAGGGTGTTCCAATCTTCTTTCTTTATTATAATTCTGATTAATCATAATATGCATGTTACACAATTGTTCTATAATGTGACTTTCTACATATACATCCTTAACAAATCCCCAATTACAGACAGAAACCCTAAAACTCCTCACAACAACAATCCAGCTCGATTTATAAACTACATTTACTAGGTCAAAATTATTCAAAAATCCTCATGTTAGGGATCCTTACGATGAATCTCCGGTAGAATTTGCGCTTGAAGTGCTCAACGACTTCGGATCTTGACGCCGTGTTAGGGGGGATGAGGACGTTGGACCAGTAATCCGACCATCGAGGATCGCCGTCGTAGTCGTACGACGCCGCACCGCCTTCTTCGCGCATTGAGATTGCTTTTTCCCACTCTAGTTTATCTCTCTAGGGTTTTGGAGGAGACCGGGACAGAGATTTTTTTGATGCGAATCGAAGAAATGTATCAGCTTCGATTGGCGTGCTCTCGCTGGAGCAGATGACGGTGACCGCGCATTTAGTTACTGTCGAGTTGGGAGAAATTAAAAAAGAGGCCCTTGTAGTTACCAAAATCATTTAATAATAAATTAATTTTGATAACTCCTTTTTTTAGAATTAAACGAGGTCCTTATAGTCTTATTTTTCTTCTTTTCTATATTTAACTTTGAAGTCTTTTTTATTTAATTGTTATTATTATTTATCTTTATGACAATGTAAAACTAGAAGTATTTAATCTTAGGACTTGAGTTCGAATCCTGTGTCTATCAAAATAGTTGCAAATGTTTACTCTCTACTCAATTAGTTTAAGATTCAAATATTATTGCCGACATTTTTGGAATTAAAATGAATATGTAATTGCCACCAATTTCTCGAGAGCTTATTGAAAGGATTTTCCTTAGAAATAGGAATGCCCTAAACAATTTTCCCTGCCGGAAGAAAAAAGAAAGAAGTACTTGGAAACATGAAGTTAATCCTCAACTTACTTGCTCATTTTTTTAGAATAATAACTTTGTTAGGTCTTTCAAATACAGTCCTACGATTCAAGGCTAATACAGATTACACTTCAACTTCATGTTGTACTCTACTAAGTGATAATCATATTTTTATTACATGTTTATATTCTCATTATCTATTTTATTTAAATAAAATAATCACTAATAACATGTTTTATTTTAATTGCAGGCTAATGAAGATTAATGAATAAGAGCTAAAAAAGAACTCAAATTTCCTTATTTTTTACCTTTTATTGAAGCCCGGGGTTAAGCCAAGAAATCTACAGAAGCCGAAGAAGAAATGGTCCAATATAAAAAAAAATCAAGTTAAAATCATGCTCAAGATGATTAGCAACAAAAAATAGCAAAAATTACCAATCCGGAAGGCGGAATTTAACATATAATATATGAAAATCGCCTATCTCGACGAGACGAATCCAACTGTATTTTTAGAATTTTAAAATTCTAATCGGTTGGTCAATCGATTAACTGACCAAGTGATTCGTAACAAACTTGTTTTATGGCTAAGATTTAATCCTTGTAGCCCAAGTAAAATCCAATAATTCTTGTTGCTTACTATAGACTATAAATAGGGTAGAGGGGTGAGATGTTTGAATGTACAAATTTTTGTAAAGACTTTATTTGGAAAGGAGAGATACTTTTAATTGAGAAGACCTTCCAAAAATTATAATTTTGTCGCAATTAATATAAGAATTTTTTTCACCTCGTCATATTTTTCTTTTCTTCTCTTTCTTTTGATAATGGAGATGAAGATGACGATGAATATGAAGATGAAGATAAATGTTTGCTTTCAAGAGGTTAGAACCCTATTGCAATGTAAAATTTTCTTTTTATCTTTTATTTTCTTATAATAATTTTCTTTTCTTGTTTTAGATATTCAAGGGGCTAGAACCTTCTTATTTTAGATTTATTTTGATGCATTGTAGAGTAGATTTACTTTCATGCCTTTAGTTTTGCATGATTTTCTTGCTTTTATTTTGTAGTACAGGTTTATATTCTTGCGTAGTTTAGATTTTCTTTTATGTTCTTTTCTTTTTTGTTCATAGTTTAGATCTTTACTCTTTGTTTTTATTTTCTTCTTTATAGTTAATTCTTATTTATTTTATTCTCTTTAGTCTAGATTTTTTATTTTCTATGATGTGAAACTAATTCTTATAGGAATTCTAGAATTCTATGAAACTAGTTTGATTTCCTTTATAATTTGTGAATTATCCTATTGTGCTTAAAATAATCATGTTTATGCTAATCAACTAGATAGGTAATTGGTAAAAGAAAATTTTAATAATTTATGCTTATCTTGAGTAGTTTGATAGGTTATACTTATGAATTTTATAATTAATATCTAGTTGCTATTTTTTCGTAAACGTAATTTACTTAGATGATAATATGATAGGTTATGCTTTCATTAAGTGATTTGATAGTCTATGCTTAATAAATCTAAAGTAAAATATGATAAAAAAAGAGAGTTCATAATTTATAAGTGAAATTGGCTAGTTCTAATTGAATTCTTCATCTTTTACTTTCTTGATTTTCCTCTTTATTCTTGATTTTTCTTTATTTATTTCTTAATTTTATTTTCCTTTATGTCTTTATTTTTCTTTCTCTCCTCTTAATTTAGTTTTGTTTTATCTGCATATAGTCTCAACCACTCTCCTTATCTCTCCACAACCACATTTATCACTCCTAATTGTCACACACACAACTTACGAATCAAATTTTAATTATCTCCTACAACACATTCCTTGTGAAACCGGCATTTCTTTATAATATCACTTGATAGCGGTGTGCTTACAACTATGTTTATTATTTACCTCCTATCACTTAAGTCTTCGTTGTTTGTTCGGATAGTTTCATAAGGGGGGTTATTGGTTGGGATATTTTGGGGGATAATGAGATAATTTTGAGGATTCTATTTCATAGTGTTATTCATTGGGACAATGGAACAAGGATAATACTTTTTTGTGTTATTGGTTTTTTGGAACACTAGTGAGACAATTACACCACTTGGGGTAAAATTACATCACTCATATACAAAAATTTTATCCCAATAGTAAAAATTTACCCCATCCTCCATATTAGAACAATGTTGTTCCACTTTGAAGGCAATTGGGATAAATTTAAAATAATTTTGTATTACTTCACTAATACATTCCAATTATATTATAAATATATGACATGATATATAAAATATAACATATATTAATAATATTATGTAATATATTATTATATAATATTAATTAGTAATTATAGTATAACATATTTATTATAATATTATATAATATTTTAATAACATATATTATTATATAATATATTATTATATAATTAATTTATAAAATATTATTATAGTTATTATATATATGACATACTATTATAATATAATATAATAATTACTAATATTAGTAAAATATTATGATATAATATAATATAATACTATAGTTTGAAATAATATAATATATTATACTATACATTATATCTTTTAATATATATTATTGTAATTATCATGTAATATATATATGTTATATTATATTTTAATTTTAATATAAAATTTTAAAAAATATGACATGAATAAAGTAAAATATATAAATAAAAATTTATAATGTACATTAATCCTACGATAACTATATTATAATATTTAAATTAAAAAATTATTTATTAACATATTATATTAAATATATCTATTCATATCAATTATTATATAATGTATCATACTGTAATATATTGTTATAGTAATTATTGCTAGAGCATATTATATTTTTGTATAAATAAAATAATGTATTATATTAAATATTATATTATTAAAATATTATATTAAATATATTAATATTATATTATATTAAATATTATATATAGTACAACATACTAATATAATATAATATAATATAATATAATAATTAATAATAGTAATTTGTAAGTATAGTATAATATATTATATTTTAATATAAAGTAAAATAATATTAATATTATAATAATATACTAAATAATATACTAAACTAATTGGATAAGTTAATTTAGAAGTAATTAATAGATAAAATTATATTTTAATAAGGTGTCACATCATCAATTATCCCACATGTATTGTCAAATCAAATGCTCAAATTATCCCATTATCTCACTTTATCCCACTTTACCCCACTCAAAATATCCTAAAGGGGTAAAATTGTTCTATTGGAACAATTTTCCCACCATGCCCCTATTTGTCCTAACCAATAACTCCCCCAAGTGACGTACAATGTTTTGTTTTTATGACACCAGTTTGCATAAATTTTAAGCGGTTGTCTACCAATAGAAGTTAATACCTTATTATTAATAAATAATTTTTTGACATGAAATGAGTGCCAAATATGAGAAAAATTGAACAGTTGCTTACAGGAAAAACAAAACATTTTAAGCATTCCCACCACAATAAATTGCACAAAATCCAGAAACTGTTTTCAACAACAATAATTGTAAATAAAGCAACCATTTCTTTTCCAATGCTTTTATTCCCAAACAAGAGGAAATATTGGGTAAAATCCAATCATTGGCCGAAAAAAGCCGTGTCGGCATTTTAACAGTTATAGCTGCTTAAAAAGTCTCTACAGCTTATCAAAAATGAGAGGCTCCTTCAGGAACTTCTCCATTTGCTTTGCCCTTGCTAGTGAAGTGGATATTCCTCCAGTTGAAGATCCTCTAGTGCAAGCTAATCAGCATGAAGTTTCTGACCCCAATGAGTCCACTCCTAAAAAATCTAGTGGCTTCAGAGGGAGAAAGAACATAACTCCTAAGAGAAAGAGGATAACCCATATGAGAAAGAAAATAGCATCTAAAAGGAAGAAAATATTATCAAGAGGACAACACTTATGCAATCTAACACACACTTACACTTCTTTACCTCTCAATTTTTGCTTCTTCATTCCACTTTTGAATGGAGTGCAACTTGTTGAATCCTGCAACCATTCCACTATTCCCGCTACCGACGTGTGAACACGTGATGTGGGGGTCACGTTGTGATCAGAAGCTGAAGCAAAACCGCGTTTTCGTGAAGGGATTCTCGTGGGGGCCCACCCACGTTTGTGAACGGATTCGGAGACGCGTTATTTGTGAACGCGGTTTCGTGGACGTGGATTCAGAGATGAAGCTTATAAATAGGATTTATTTTTTTTAGGGTTTTTGGTGCACAAGGAGGTTTTGGCCGCGGGAAAGATTGCGGCTACAGGTGAAAACGCAGAAGCAAAAGTGGAGATTTTGAGAAGGCTTTTGTTAGGGTTTTGAGCATCCATTATTGGAGAAATTTGTGAGAGATTTGAGAGTTTGTTTAAGGGTTTAATTTGTGTGATTGTAAATCATATTTGTATTCTCTCTCTCTATTAGTAGATCTCCCCCCTCCTTACCCCGTGGACGTAGGCTATTTTCCGAACCATGTAAAATTAGTTTGTCTCTCTATTTATGTGATTTGTAATAGCTTATTTAGGTTCTCTTGACAGGTCAGACCTAGAACTGATAAGAGGAAGAGCTGATATCTCACTTGGTTGAGATATTTTGCT